CACGTCCGAACTTCGGCTGTAGAACTGTAGGCCTTTGAGAACTGCGACGCCAAAGCAGCCAGTCAATCCTACAGCGCTGCCCGCCGCTCGGCTGGCCGTGCCTGTTCGCTCGGCGACCGGTCAGCGGCGATAGAATCCGAGCCCGGAGGCTGACCGGTTCCTGCAGTCGGAGGGTCTGCACCCCTGCCATGGAGGGCCCGAGCTCGGATTCTTAGGGCAATAATGATTGTCATAGAATCGAAAGAAAAATCCATAAGGTTCGCTGCGGCGTTTGCTGCTTTGGGGGGGGGTTTTCTTGGATGCAACATGCTGACCACTTCCGAAGGGAGAGCACACGATCTCGACCTTGTTGCAGTCTCCCAGACTCTGCAGTCGACAAACAGTTGGCTCCAGCCAGAGGCTTTGGAGCATCAGAAAATGAAACAACCGCCTCTTCCAGCTCAAGGTGATGTGAATTTGGGGGGGTTCTTCTTCCTACCCTCCGACTCACTCACGAAGAAGGAGGTGTTTTTATGTGTCTTCCTCTTGTTGCAGCCCTCCATCTTTCCCCTTGTCGGACTAAAAAGGCTCTGCCGAAAGGCCACACTCGCCGCCGCCACACTCGCTCCGCCGTGGCCACGTTCCTTTGGCACTCGAGGTCTACAGGCTCAGAGTTCCGCGATGGCGACGGACTACTCCACGATGTCGGAGGCGCTCTCGGGAGACGAAACGAAGGAGGCGAGCTCTCGGAACGGTTCGCATGGGAAGCGGTGGTGGGGCGGTTCGGTGGTTTGGTCGTTTTTCGATCGGAGTGTTTTTGGGGTTGACTTCCCTCGGTTCCCTCCGCCGTGGTAACACCGTGGTAACACCGGTGGATGCTTTTTTTCGCTGGTCCCATGGCACGGTCTTATTCGAAAGCAGGGTGAAAGCAGGGTGGCTGAGGGTGGCTGGATATGAATGGATATGAATGGATCCACATAGAATCTCTATTGGGGGCGAACCTTCCCTTATTCCCTACGAGTCGCACCAGTCAGAAATGGATCTCATGAGATAAAGAGTCGAGGATGAAAATTAATGAAACAAAATGCGCCTTGAAAGATCATCAACATGGACAGGCCGACATCATCAATTCCATGCTGCTCATGCAACGCGTGACGATCACCAGCTTTGCAGAGACCATCACTTGGGCCAGTGGGAGCCTCGTGTCGTGTCCTTTGACCCTGTCAGATCTGTAATGATCTGTGAGGACCAAACCAGGTTGTTGGTGTTTCTTCAGCCTTGAACGTGATTGCAGCTGAAAGACTGCAGCTGCGCGTATGATCGTTCCATGTTTGCTGACAGGCATTTGGGTTTATGCATACATGCACTGCATACTCTGGTTCTTGCCCTTCTTAACTTCTTAACCATCTTCGCGTTGTGTCAAGGTGTCCAATCTGAATACGCTGTGGGCGTTTTAGTGGCCATGATGGTTGGCCAAAACCTGATCGCATCCGCTCTGGGCTTGGCGAGTGGCTTAACGGAAGCGCTCTTGACACTTGGCTGTCTTCTTTCTGTGAAGAGATGCACGAAATTGTCGGACGTTTGAACCCGATAAAACATGATAAAACTGAAAGAAAGTTGAGTGAGAAATTCCTAAGGAACCTGAAGGCCATGTTTCCTGGAAATCAAATCGGAGGATGGCTCCTGATCCTCACGACCTTCCAGGTCGTTCCGATCTACATGGTGATCTTTGTGCCTTGGACCTCGGTCGTCTGATCTGAAGGCGTCCAGGATCCGGTCGTCCGGAAGCATGTCGAAGGGGTCGAAGCCTGCTGTTCAGGGCGTTGGGGACCCTCAAAACGGTTTTGGAGGGTCCCAGATCCATCGGGTGGGCCCAGTTCCCGACAGCATTCGACTTGCCCGGTGGTGTTGGCTTCGACGCTTCGCTTCGACGTGAAGATGCTTCGCGTGAATATCTCGGTCAATGCTGAAGTCCGGCAGAAGGTGTATTTGTTTGGTAAGGAGACCCCCTTAGCCCAATGGGTAGACTGCTCTATGGTCTCCCTATGTGAGCTACACACCCAAATGCTCCAAACAAGTGGGCTGTGCCCGTTTGCGCATGGCTGTGCCCTGTAGGTCAAACTTCTGTGGGTTTGTAAAAGAATGAAGAAACCGTGCCAAACGGAGGATGTGTTTTTTTCTTCACCATATGCGCATGTTTTTGACAGTTTGTTTTGAACCACAACCGCACACGAACCACTCCTTCACGGGAGAAAACAAAGACAAGAAAAAGGCATCAAAAAGCCACTATAAAGCCACTATCACTATATGTTTCTTTTTGCAGTCTTTGCATTTTTATATGTCTTGATATGATTGATGAATCAATCGATCAGATTGTCACCTTTCGATGCCGATCAGCCGATCAGGCAGTCTTTCAACAGCTTCTGGGGGATGCCTTTGTGGCCATTGCTGTCGTGGCTGCCACTTTCTATTTGTCGGTTGGGATGCACACCGGCTATCGCATCACCTCCACCAAGAGCGGCGACCTGGAGCTCGAAGAACGGCACTTTCTGCGGGTGAAGCCGGTTCTAGCGATGTCCCCGAAGAAGGTATTGGGACATCGCTTCTATGTCTTGGAATTTGTTGCGATGTGGTTTTGGAAGTTCTGTTCTATCATATCACCAGGATTGGGATCTGAGCCAAGAGTTTCAAGATGGTGTTACCACGTCTCACAGTGGAGTGATATGATGCTGCAGAATTGATATCTCACGGTGATCTTGATTTCTGTTGTCTCAAGGTGATGAAGGACGCTGGCATTTCTACCGACTCATTTGGGTGGAGTATGGCCTCCGAGCTCTTTTTGGCTTGGCGCTTCTGGGGGCGATGCTCATCTGGGTCTTTCAGAAGAATCTGCAGCAGTCCTTGCTGCTTGGCCGTGTTGGCCCTCTGAGCTTCTGGGGGATCTGAAGGAAAGAGGGGAAGATCGTGAGGACTCCTTGGGAGTTTATAGGCCCTGACAACTTGGGGCGTCGAGGTCAAGAGAGGAGTGAATTTCAACCAACCACTTCAAAGAGGACCAACCACTTTGGTGCAGCCAAAAATAGGGTCAAACAAGCACCACACGCCTCTTCCCAATCAAACAGGTGGGCATTTTCGGTGAGTTTTTGTTTGGCGAACAGGGTCTAGACCCGCTCCACTAGACAGCCCGTTAGACCCCCGGACACCACCCCTCCAGGCTGGACTATATCCGCGACGATTTGCTGACGCCGCGAGCATTGATGTCCATCGTTGCTGACTTCTTCACACGAAAGTCTCTGAAGCTCGGCACCACACCCGGCGTCGGCGTGGCGCCCCCACGCCAGCGTGGCGGGGACGGTACGGACGCCGTACGTCGGTACTTTGAGGCTGGGGAAAGTAGTGACACCGCATCCAGTGTTGGATGTGGTGTCATGGGAGGTGTTGTTGTTCTTTGCTTTGTAGACAGCGATGATGACATGACTGAAATTCTTACGAAAGCTGGTAAAGGTGGGATGATTTGGGAATTTTTAAGTGGCTGATTGGTGGCCCGAACTGTACCAGTAATGTTACCAATAATAAGGTTACTAATGTTCGATCCAGTAAGTAAAGATACTTTTCCGGGCGTGTGACTGGTCGTGGTGTGACTGGTCGTGGTGCTGGGTGCGCGGATAGACGCGGCCCCAGGACAGCTGTGGCTGGCACCGATGCCATGGTCTCTGCGTTCGTTCAGACGGAGAGGCTTAGAGACCAACTTGGGGGAGAGGCTTAGATACTTCATGCTTCTAAGCTAGACGCTTCGCGTCTTCAGACCAAGATCTGGCGCACCAGTCGGACATTGGTGTTCACACGGGGGCCCCTTCGGGCTTGCCCGGTCGGGTCGCAGGTCCGAACTTCGAGCTGTGCAGCTCGAGCCGAGCTGTGTCCGGATGAGGTCGTTGTCCGGACATTTGACGATTTCGATGTGCGGAAAAACACCACTTGGCGCAAGAAGACGCCCACACTCTGAGGACTTGGCGCTTGAAGCAGGAGCCCCGGGAGCCTTCCGCGGTGCGTTGTCTACTCCGGCACTGTTGAGTGCTGCTGTGATTCGATGTTTTTCCGCAGAGAGTCTTGTGTTTCAGGTGATTTGTTGGATTGGCATAGGGATTGGCATCGATGGTAGAATCACTGGTAGAAGATGGTAGAAGCAAAGATGTTGAGCCATCAAAACCATCGGTCACTTGAATGTACGATTCATGTGGTGTTCCGCGTGGTTCTCCGCATGTGGTGTTCCACGTGCGAGGATGCAGAGGCGTCTCAGGCGATTGCAGCACAAGACTTGGAACGCCTCATGGCCAAGCGCACCGCCCCAAAGGAGTAGCATGGCAGCCGGGTCGGTCCGTGTGTGTAACGCTGCAAGGGTCCCGGATCCTGTGTGGGTCTGAGACTCAGCGACTCTGTGAGACGGAGACTGAGTGGTTCAGTTCTTCTTCAGATTCTTGATCTCATCATTTCACTAATAGAATTTGTATTCTAAATAGCAATAATACAATTATAATATTTATATATATAATATATATATATGTGTGTGTGAACCTGTTGGAAGACCAATTTCCAACTCAGACATGAATTCTTCATGACTTGGGTGCAGCTCAAAGATCAGCTTCACCCAGGGCCCTCCACCGACGGCACCGTCGACCGCGTCGAAGACCGACGCGTCGAAGACTGAACAAAGAGCTGCGAAGACCGTCGTCGCCGAGCGTGAAAAATTCGACGAACGGATGTGGTGTTGGTTGGGTGTTGGTCTTTTCTATCGAAAAGCAAAAGGATTGAGGGTACAAGTTGACATGAGTTGACTAGTGTTAACTAACTTTAGGAACCTAGAACCATCTAGAATTCTAGAACCCTAGAAAAGAGATGAAAAGAGAGAAGTCACATGCCAAGGTGACCCGGCTTTGCAGATACCAGAAGTTGCTTCCCGTCACTGCCGTCACTGTTTTCCCAGAGCGCTTCCTACGTCTGACAGTTTCGTCTCTTCGTTGCAGGCACATGTGCCTTTGCAGTGGCTGCGCCGAGACCATGCGGACACAGATCCAATACCATTCCTACAGGCCGATACAAAACGGAGGCATTGTCAGGATGTCTTTTAAAGCTGCTGCATGTCAATAGATACATCTAACATATTACTGTATAGATAGAAATATGCATTATGTTGATTTATAGTATACATAATTCCATCAATCATATGCCAAACAATATAGTAGGTGGGGCCTGGGAAACCCTTCCCCTTCCGGAGACCACCCCCCCCTCCGCCTCTCAGAGACCCGACTTCCGGTTTCGAACGGTGAGGTGCCCCATTTGTCGGGAACGCGTCTCCAGCCTGCTGCAGAAGCGACCTGAGAGTTGAGTCTCTACCGCGGTGGGCTTTTTCAACCGGTTGAGGAGTACCTGAGAGTACCCCATAAGTTTAAGTTTAGGGGAAGAAAAGAATCGGTGATTTTGAGCGTTGTTGGGTGGTGGTGTTCTTTTCTTTTGGCATGTGAAACATGGAGAGTGATGAACATGCAGTTTTTGCTGACATATGACATGCTCACATCGTATGACATGATCATGAATGCCTGGCCCTCTTGTCGGGCAAAGTTCTGGTCAGCACGGGAAAAAGCATCATGATATTACAAATATGGACAAGCTATAGAGTGACTTAACGCTTGTGCAGCCAGTTTCAAGAGAAAAACTCGTTGATGTTTCTGCAATTTTATGCTGAAGCCGAAGAAAGGCAAATGGTTAGGAGAAGTGTGAAAGTCGCAGGTAACAAACTTGGCTGTGTCTTTGCTTCAACATGTTTCCATTTTTCCAAGCTTGCCAAAACAGACAGAAGATGTGCATTTGATGCCCACACTTCAGTGCCATTTGCCCAAAGTTCTTGGTTTCCGAGAACATTGATCCGAAGATTTGCAAGAGAAACATGGGTCCTCCCCTCCGCAGGAGCTCGGTGCGACTTGAAGGAGTTCAATTTGAGTTCCACGGTGGGTTTAAAAAGAACAAGACGATACATGGATGCTCATTGGTCCATTTGGGTATTTCCATAGCGTTCTGCACTCATGTCCATGCCTTAACACCCTTGCTGGGGGTGGCAGGTTCTGCTCCGAGCAAAACGCACATCCAATGCTGCCGCCTTTCTTAGCCAAGACCCGGGACCGGGGAGGAGAGCCATGCCTGAGATCGCGCCAGGCATGCAAACCGCACGAGAGCAAAAACTGCTTTCTGGTGTTCGTTGCAGTGTTTGAACAAACCTGCGTCCCAGAAATGGCACTTGGGTGAATTAGAGTCAACCATCATATGGTGGCTGAAAACTTGAGGACCCAGGCCCCCAGTCCAACATGAAAAGAAGTACCAGTACCACATGTCAAACCATGTTCCGACACCAGCTGGGGTCATTTGTTGGGGCCCTTAGTGTACCGGATCCGAACCATGACCCGAAGACTCCGAAGCGCGAAGGTGTCTCCTACGGGACGCTCGCCCGCGAATGGCGGTGCAAATGGCCGTGGCCGCAGAGAGACGAAGAGACACAACAGGAGACGCTGAACTGAAGCGTCATGCGCAACAAAAGGTGTGTGGAAATGTGCGATGACAAGGTGTTTTGTGGTTCTCCCATAGGGGGGTTCTATCCAATATTAGCCAATGATGTGTCCCACAAAAGCGAGCTCGGCCAGCTACAGCTACAAGAGGGCGTCAGTTCTTTGATAGAGTTAGAGAGCGACCCTTTTTTCGGATCATGTTGGAGACTTGGCCAATTGCTGGAGATTTGAAAACGTCCATGATGGTTGAGGTCATATGATGATGACTGTGCCTCCTTAAAGGCATGTCAGAAGCTCTTGCAGGACGACCTCTTTTGATTGCTGTTTTCAGCGCGGATCAACGCACGACAAGGCTGCTGCGATGTTTCTTTACCACTCCACCCACTGGAACGTTCCCATGCGGCATGAACCGATGCTAGCCTGTACTAAGTGGCCAGACTGGCGAAAAAAACATCACGGATCCATGGCATCGGTGTCGCATCGTGTCGTTTGGCCGTTTTGCCGTTTTGTGCGGCGATCGCAGGACATGCAAGATGAGATTTTGGACGTGCGCCACCGACCGCGGCGTTCACGGCGGCTTCGTCCCGGATCGGCCGGTCTGAAGACGGGGAGACGGGGAGATGGAACGGCACAACGAGTAACGGTAGGAACGGCATGGAACCGGCCAAGCCACTGAGGCTTGTTTGGAACAACAAGCCTCGGTGGTTGTTCATCCGCATTTCAATTTGTAACGACGAGAAGAATGTCTTGATCACAGAGCCATGTTCATCCATTTGGGGGGGTTTAGAGGCATAGACGATACACCGATACACCCTTAGAGGCAATGCCGAATACACCCAAGCTTCCTGAAGATTTCGATGTGCGTTTCAATGACTGAACACATCCATGGCTCACATGGCTCCATGATGCCTCCGAACATCTCAAGCTCCATGATGCTCCCCAGTCACAGCCTTTCACCGAGTTTCTTTCTTTCGAGCCAAAGGCGGTTCGCCTGCGACTTTGCAGGGTTTCTACACTCTGACTTCTGACTCACTAACATGGAAGTGGAAAATGGCCGGTTGAATGACTATTCTCCTCTACAAACAGGCGGTTTTCCGCTTCCATGTGATGTGTTCGTGGGAAAGTGTAATTCCGGTCGATGCAGCTCCTTTCACCGATGATCGATGGCTCCTTCCCCCGCGGAGCGGAAAAACCACGCCCCCCAGGTGATCCACCACTGGGCGGGGAAGCAGTTGAAGACGCGAGAGGTCCGTTCGGACGGAAAGCGGACGGATGAGGTGAAGACCGCGCCGGGGTCGCCTTGGGGATCGGATGAGGTGAAGTCATGTCTGGAAGGTGAATCAGACGTGTAGGTAGGTGAATGAGGTGAGGAAACGGACGTCCCGTGGCGATCTGTTTTTCTTCTTTCAATCCCATCCGCATGGCGCCCGCGGGCACCCCGCGATGCGGCTGGACCGCATGGCCGTGACCAGGTCATGAATGGCAAAATTGATGCCGGCCGACAAACCATTCAGCGTGTGGTGGGGCAGGCGAGCCTGCAGAGCTGTTTGGTGAGCGACCGGACAGATGGAGGTGGATGGAGGTCGGCCCAAGGAAGAAGGTACGACCTTCGACCTTGTCTAGACCAAACAGACATGGTGATATAGAAATCCAAACAGTGAGACTCGGGTTGTTTGCAAGGAGTGGACTGATAGATTCGTAATTGGACAGATTCACAATTCTGATGGTTGGCATCACCACAAGCCAATATGTTGCGGGAATGTGCCGTCTATTGTCAAGAAAGGTATTTCTGTACTACTTGATAAGGCACTGGGAATGCTTCAAGCAATGTGGCTTTGTCGAATGCAGTGTTGAAGGAACGCCTTTGCAAACTGATGGAACTCACCCCAAAGAATGACGCATCAAATGGGGGAAAAAAAGCAATTGCAGGACATAAAAACGACTCGTTTTCTGCCTAAACACAGTGTTTGGGCGGGTTGGGCTACCAGGTTTCTGTGCCCAGGGGGCGTGGTATGGGGCTTCACCCCTCCAATGTCCAAGCCGTCTCGCCCAGTCTCGCCTCATGTCATGCAGGCATGTTGTGACTTCAAGGCGGGGAGAGAAGATCGGGGCGTGCTGACGTAGGTGGTGGGCACCTATACCTGGACAGGTATGCGGTATATAAATATGCACATGTCTCAAATCACTTGGCTGAAGACCCTTCTTCATCTAAACTGCACGCCGCGATGGTATCTAGGGGGCACCTTTTAGTTAACTATTTTGTGAGGCTTTTGTTGGTGTAAGAAGGCATTTTTTAGATCCTCCTTCGAATTTAGCCTAAACAATGGACCAACCCGGGGTGTCATAGAGAACGCGAACCAGTGGTACAACCACCCTTGATTGCTTCAACTGGAACCTGGGGGGTTGCACTTTGGAATCTCAGGGTATTAGTGTTTGATTCTTTAGTGACAGTTTGACAGTTCGACAGTTCATGACAGTTCGACTCGAACACGGAGTGTCAGATTCTTTTGGTTGATGATGGTGTTATTTTTTGGAGGTTGAGCAGGTCTAATTCTTTAGTGCTTGTTTGTGATGGATGCTGATTCTTTAGAGAGCAGGTTGGCACAGAGTGGGATCCGGATAAAGATGTCCATGTGAAAGGTCGAATTCGCACAGGGATATTTTTAGTGTGCAGTGAGGTTCAATTCGTTTGTTTATGAGGTTCCACTACCAAAGGTGGGTCTCCTTTGACAACAACAATGCCCTGACACCATAAATCCCTGTCGAGGTCATCATCAAGCTGCCGATGGACAAGTTCGACGAGTGCCTTGCGGAAATGATGAGAGTGTTTGGTTCTGGTCGATGATCGATGGCTAGATCCACTTCATCTCAAAAGCTCAGCAGTGGTACCAAGTTCGGCAAAAGGATTGCACACATCCCTAGCTGGATCACACCTGGACCATACTGGACCAGTTTCTTCATTTTATGATGTCATGTGATGTCCACATTCGGTTCAACACTTGTTTGAAGCACAAAAGCACACGGAGCTCCTTGCAGCGCCTCCCTTCACCGGAGCATGCAGCATTACTCTATTTCGATTGGACTTCCCAATCTGATAAAGTTCTGCACCGAAAATGGATCGAAAGCTCTTGGGACTTCTCCCATCGCTTCCCCCAGCCAGCCAAAACAGTTTTACAAGCGCCGCGCCGCACTCGGGGGGGACTCCCCGACTCCCGGACTTCCGGAGAGCGTGGTCAACTCGGTTCACTTCTCTTCCCCTGTTTGTCGTCCAGTCCGTGGATCGTCGGCCTCGGTGGATCGTCGGCCTCAGTTGTTGCTTTGGGTTCGTCGGAGAGAAAGCCCTCAGAATCTGCGAACGAACGAACGGAAGAAAAGCCGGTGCCAGGAACGAATGGAGATCTTCTCCATGTCTCTTATCAGATGGAAGAAGAAATCAGTGGATGGATGCCTGAATATAAGTCTCATGACATGGAGAATAATACTAGGAGACAGTATACTAGATATATCTAGATATACACGCGCATGTGTTTAAAAAACCCATAGGCTCTCCATGTGTGGAAACAAAACTGGCTTCCTCAACCCAGGTGGGGATCCAGGAAGTTTGATCCAGAGGACCCCGGGTAGACCGAAGCGGACGGGGAGGCTCGGTAGACCGGGGCGGAAAGACGCCGTTGGGAAGCGGTCGGTGGAGCCCCTCATTGGTTTTTTTTTCCGTACAGAAGGTAGAGACATGTAGAGACTGTGCGTCAGGATGGGGGGAGAGAAATGGAGAGAAATGGAGAGAAGGGTTTGCTCAGAAATGCTCTCTCTCTCTCTATGGTGTTCTCTCCTGTGGCGAAGATGCCGCGAATGTCATGAATCTGCTGGATCAAATTCAGGAGAAATTCCTCGAGCAGTTGGCAGCTATCCCTGGTGTGCAGCAGGCAGACTTCTCAGCTGAAGAGCTCTTGTCGTTGGAAGAAGACGGGCGCAGACCTGGCGAGCCAGCCAGCTGGCCGGTGAATGGGA